CTTCATATTCTATACCGTGTCTCCCTGAAATCTCCCTGAAATTCAAATTCAATTCCAATTTTGTTCCACTGTTTTCTTTCCAATCACAACTCCAGTTCTATTTCCTGATTTGGACTGGGATTGATTAATGCATTCCAGAATAGCCCCAACCCTGGTAGCCACAGCATATTTAATGAAAATGATATTTGTTTTGTGTTACAGATATAGTGAGGAGAGAATTTGTACAACTTTCTCAACGGAGCTTCACTGGATACCCGAACCTCCTCAAAACTGCCAAGGTATAATTATATCAGGTTGTCATCCTATTGTAGTACATCCAGAATATTAGAATGCTGAACGACTGAATCATGAAATACAGCATTACTGCAATTTTCTATAACATTGTGGTAGAATAAAACATGGTTGTTTTTTAATTTGCAGACTAAAATTGAATCCATAAAGCAGAGCCAAGCCACCACAGCAGAGGATTTGCTGAGGACTGAATTCAAAATGGAGAAGATAGTGTACACCCAGGACAAGAGATACACTGACACCGTAGAGAGGGTCAGAGTGGAAGAGAAGATGGGGACTGTTTACGGGCAAGATATTGTGGCCACACTACATAATTTGCAGTGGCATCTCAAATCATATTATCGAGTAAGTAACTTCCTTGAAAGCATTATGGACGGCTTTATGAAAGGCATTTATACTAGCATTACAGACTTTTCGTAGCATGAGATTTTTATCGGGTGTAACTGACACTACAAAATCAATTCACCACACTAACCAATCAGAATTGAGTACATTCCTATGACATTTGCTCATCTCAGGAATTTTGCCCACACACTTTTCATGCTCTTCTGCACATGAACATGTACTTCTGTACTTAATGTATAATATTACTTATTCATATTTATCTGAGAACCTGGGGTTGCAGAGAGCCGTCAAGTACAATCCTCACAGTATCCCCACCATCATGGGGGAGTCCTGGCAGCTGGGATTCCTGGTGCCGAGACACCTGGGGCAGGGTACCAGCCAGGGGTGGGGGACCAGCCAGGGGTGCCCAAGTATGATGGCATCATGGGGAGACTTGATCAGGAAGAGCTATATCCAGTGGAGCAGATCCAGCTGGGGATGTACTGGCGCTGTGTGCTGCATGTCCTACCCCCTGCCTAGCAGTGAACCGTGTAGAGCGTGAATATTAAGGGGGGTCAACAGGGTGCAGGGTGTCAGTCATGTCTGACAGTGAGCAATAAGGTGCCCTGAGGCCCAGCAGTACAGGGGAAGGCCCTGTTGTCAATGGCACCGGCACTCAGGGTAAGTGGTGCCCTCCCCAGCTACATGGGCTCCCCCAGGTCTGGTGTCAGAGCCGGCACGTTGGCTTAGTGAGAAAGCGGGGAGGTCGACTGGGTCCGTGTCGGCTGGCGCTCATGCTGCAGATTGTCCAGGGACATGAACAGCTGAATAAACTACTCCAGTCTCAGGTCCTGCTCTTGTCTTCCATTTGGCATTGAGCCTCCTGCGGTAAGCTGTGAGGAGAGCCACCTCACTCCACTTGCTGGCTACCAAGAAGGTACAGAGTTATGCGGTGAATTCCACTGGCGGATGCAACTGCTGGCATAGCTCCATAGCTTGATTTCCAATATACTTGCCCTGCAGTGGTTGATCAAACACCTCCTTCAAGTAGGCAATGAACCAAGAGTTAGACCAGAGAGCTGGGCTGCGCTCATCCTTGGTGCTGAACTGGGCTGTGTTGTTGTGGTGATACAGTTCACACTGCACCAGGAATAGCTTATAGTGTTCTCAAGAACAGTTGTACCTCTCGGGTAGGGGATTCTGGCGGGCAGGAAGAGGGATGGTACTGCCTGAGGAAGAGACAGGTGGTGATGCAGTGGCAGAAGCTGGAGGAGTCGGGCAGGCAGACACGATGTCCTCAAGGTATCTCTCCAGTTGGGCAAGGATACTGCAGGGCTCAGTTGGGTCCATCCTCAGGCAAGATGTTCTTACATGGGACAGGTCAGGGATAGGGGACCTCAACTCAGAGCAAACAGCCAAACACAAGATGAGAATCAAAGTAAGGGATGGATTCAGAGGTCAAAAAGCCTGAGAGTCTGTCCTAGGGAGTGAAGGGAAAGGCAGGCATTTATGCAGATGTGGGATGATCATCACAAGCCAGCACGCTCAGAAGGGCAGGGGATTGGGTAGGGCTGAACGAGTTGAAGAAAATATCCTATCGCAATTTTTCTGACAGATATTGTGATTGCG